TGAAATTCAATTTACATCGTGAATAAATACGACGAATTAATAAATAAGATTATGAATTAAGCATTCAAAATTTGATCACCAGCATTTAATGTAAAGAGCAACATAATAGTCAGTTGTAAGGACAATACTTGCTTTACTTATTGAAGCATATACTATACATATTTATTAACCAATCAAGATCATTTTGTTAAGTTATGTCAAGAATTAAAGTTTATTCCAATTAAAATGATTAATGAAAACTAATCTTTTATATATCTTTAATACTTCAATTTATTATAGCTTTTCTACATTATTGAGCACGTCATTAACCTTCGGTTGTCACACTGGATTACAGATTGGCAGTTGAATTTTTAAGCAACTGATGTGCAAGAATGAATAATAATATTGAATCGGAAAAAATTTGGTCTACAGTTTGAACATCATAGAATATGTTTTGATAAAAAGAAGTTAATAAAAGAAAAATGACATAGTTTTAAGTATTCTCTTTACAAAGTAAAACCATTGGGTCATGCAAATCCATAATGACAACTGAGGGTTAAATATAATTACTTCATTAATTTATTCATATCTTCTGAATCAATAAAATGTATTTATTTTTATTTTTCAGTATTTTCTTAAAGATTTTTGTTTTGTTAGCTGTATCTTTTCTATAGATTTTAAAGTAAAAAATGTTTTCTAAAATTATTTAGTATTCTTTGATATTCTTATAAGGAAATCAGTCAATTTTTCTTCTTCATAAGACAGACAAAAGGCTTTTGTCAGAATAACAAAACGCTCGCTAATATATCAAATTAATATCGTCGTGCATTGATTCAGTTAATACATCGAATTTCGATTTGCAACTTGGAAAACTTATGGTCTAGATGTAGTGTCATTGGTTTATGCAAAATATCAACTTTTAAATAATTTAATATTTTAAAGACTATTAAATAATATGTCTTTGGAAAATCGTAAAGTATGAAGCTGTGCAATATTTCTAACGTATTGCTTAATAACTGATATATTTTTAAGAAATGAATAGTAACATCATGTATCCCGCGCTTTCAAACACAACCGAATATCGTAATTCATATTTTCTGTGTATCTAAATTATTTTGATTGTTTGAACACGGATATTTACAGCGTTATTTTACAATTCGCATGAGCCAATTAATTGAATATAGCAGTCAAAAGTCTCTATACTCTTTTTTGTTAGCTTGTTGGTGATAGTTCAGTTGACATCAGATGAGACTGTTTGATAGATGGCAAACCAACACATTAGGAAGAAACTCTATTTCAATTTCTTATCATAAATATGAGGATATATGTATTAAGATTTAGCACAATTTTAATATGCATGGCAACAAAGAAACATATTTAATAGCTTCTCATGAAATAATCATTACGATAGAGATTATAAAAAAAGTTTAAGCAATCTAAAATAGGTAATTTTGACTTGGCTAGCAAAACGACGATATTATGTAATTTACGACACTAGGTACGAAGATTCTGTCTTACATAGTATTGTAAATAATATTTCATCTTAGTCTATAAGCACTGTTCGATGATTAAATTTCTCTATTACGTTGCTTCCTACGTTAAATGCGCTTTGACTTTTAAAACGCGTATTAACAATCACAATCTGCCGATCGGAAATTGTGATGTTAGTTATGTATGTACAAGATTCGAATTTAGTCGTCTGAATTTTCAAACGCAGCATTAGTGGGTCAGACTACAGTAACAAGCAAATAAATTATATGATTTTCGAACAACAGTAGACAAATAAGTAAACGGTCGATTCTATATATATTATATTATGTTATATATAATAGTACACGATTTTATATATTCTTTTATTATCATATGAGCTATAAGCAAAGTTTCTTCTTATGTCCTTTGCCATTTTCATTTGGGATACCTTTTACTAACTGGTGTTCGCATAGTCAATTGAAGTACAGGATTTCGCCAAAGCGGATTGACCATAACAAAAATCCAAAAAATATCATATACCATACTACATTATCTACGCACTGACGATTAGTTTTAAAAAATGTTTAAATTGTTTTACTAAATGAACAATATTTTATGGATATTCGTCACTGATCTTCAAATATGTATCATTTTATCAGTTTTCACAAAGAGTGAAATGCGCCATAGTCAATACTTAGAAAATACAGTATAGTACATGGTGTATGGTATTTTGTATTTTTCCTATAGTACTACTTTATCGGAATCCTGTACACCAGTTGGCCATGCAAAAGAGAAGGTATTCCGGATGAAAACGATGAAATATCTTTTAAAATATTGCTATTTCTGTAGTTGATATGATAATAAAACAATATGTAACGCTGTATGTCGACCGTTTACTTTTTACTGTACTATTGTTTGGAAATCGTATAATTGATTTGCCTGTTACTGTCCTAACATCTGAACTCGATTTTATCGTATATACATTATGAATCGTGACCATTCGTACAGCTCAGAAATTGTATTGGAGCATGGGAAGATGCGAAACTAGAAGTGTTAAATGTTTAGCTAACAAGAAGCAAGAAACAAGAAGATAGACAAGCTTGATGTTGCAGGTGGGCTCGGTTCGCCCCGGCACTACGGCGGAGTGAGTAAGGAACAACCTCTTCTTTCACCTAGTCATCCACATTCGGGTTGCCCGGCAACACCGACTCACAATCAACATAATGTAACGAATACCCAACAACACTTCTCCAACCAACAACATTCTTCTATGATATACCACACGACCGCCAATACAATCAACACAGCAGACATGCAGAACAATCAGTTCTGTTACGATCGGACGTCTGTTCCACTCTATTCGTCAGGGCCTGGGGATACGCAGGACGCCAGGTCTCTACCTCCCGGTAATCCTGTCAATCACCAGTTGGGTGGTAAGTCATGTGACCATTTAATGTCATGTGACCATCACTTCGTCATCATTACACCCCCTATTCCACCCACCACCCCCATGTACGACTTGTCTGATCTAAAATACCTGTTCGTTGTATCACCAGACGATGCTAAAGGCATGAGACATTTTTTGGTACATGGAAACATCGTCATTCTATCATCAGACACCCATTGATGTATACATCCAAACCGTGTAAATATGATAATCATCATGTTTAATGCAGAGGTCCCATGCGTTCAATGTACCTATATCATTTTCATGTTGCAACACTCCTATATACATCTTACGCCTATTTTGGGGGAATTGGTGTGTGTTTATTAATTAGGCTCTATGAAATATTTCACGGTCATCACTGGATCATATTCTGGATTTCAAATTTTGCTCGTGTGCCTTATCGTGTTGCGTCGCGTTAATCGCATACTTTGTTGTTCTGTCTCTTCTTACCAACGAACCTTCATTACATATTTCTTGTTCAATTTTCATAGTAAGATATCATCACCATCGTCATTATCATCATCATCATCATCATCATCATCTGTCGAAATTACAATTTTGCAGTGATTGTTATTATCAGTCCACTATCAATGAATAGATTATCGTATTCTGCATACTCTTTTTTTAATTTTGCTGTAACGTACGGACCTTCAGCCTTGACTTCAAATCTTACAGAACTGCTAATTTTGACTGTAAATTTAATTAACTGATATTCATACTATGACCAAAATTTGTTTACGTATCTATCTCGTTCGGCTATCATTCTCGTGCCCTTAGCGAGAAACTAACGTCAAATAGCCTACCCTCTTGGAACAGTAGTAATTACTGCATGGTATTTTTTGTTTATAGTTTCGAATTTATCTAGCGTCATAATCACACCCATGTAACATATGTACTCTTTTCGATCATTTCATAGTACGAAAGTGGCAGTGAAAATTATAATGGTAGATCGTTCCAATTATATCAATTGTTTTGGTACGATTAGAAATAGTTCTAATTAATTTTCGTAAAGTCGAAACGATATACATTCATTTTACCGCGATAAATACCTTGTGAAATCGTTGTTAATTAGTGTACATAACGTGACATTTTTTTTGTGTAATATATTGTACCAAATTTTTAGTAAATTGTAACTGTTCAAAATAATCTTCAATTAGTATTAATTAGTAGTAATAAAAGTGAAATCACTTTTAGAATTTGAAAAGCTTTTTCAATGCAATATTTTATTTATGTTACTATATTGAAAAGTCTGATATGTAAAAGCAGATGTATTAATTTTGTATTTTATACATACATATATATCAATATCAGAAACTACATTTATAATGAAATCGTCTAACACAATTTGAATAGTTGAACGTTACTTCTTATAAAGTGAAATGTTAAGATTTTTGTCATATGCAATCCAGAGAAACTTCTTTATTAACATATAAGCTAGTTATCATCAGCTAGCAAACATTTAAATGAAATTAACATTCATATCTATTAATCACATTTGTATGAAATTAAAGGCACGAGATTAGCACTGATCATTAAATAGAAATTAATTACAATAACTTCATGCCGTTCATCATATGTCCTCTCCCATTTTGGGTAATAATTACGAACGAAGCAACGTAGAAAACCGCGGCTATACGAAAGAAACGACAAAGTGTTGTTTTATCGAATCACCGTTAGATACAAGAAACAGAACTGTACTAAGCATTTAGATCTTTTAACAAATTTTTAACAAAGAAAAGGCCTCGGGATCACAGTGTTGCCGGTACGAATCCCTTGCCCTTCCCCGTTTCGCCAATAAGTGCCCGTCGAGTGATCCTTCACTTTCCCACTTTTCCGGTCGAGACTACCTGGCCGGGCTACCGGGTGATTGTAGTTCTTTTCTACTATGCGACGCGACTTCCTAAGCGCATCACCTTACGTGGTGAATCGGTCCTGTACGGGCACCCGTTGCGGTCCCGGTGGAAAGAGTGGGAGAAGCAACAGGCCGCCCGGCGGGACACGTGTAGGCGAGACCGGAAAGGGCAAGTTGTCGAAAATTGGTGAGGCACCATTTCGTGACATTCCTGCCTCGGGTCTCTGGAACGAGTCGATTAATCCAATTCCTATGGAATTTGAATATAGTCGTAAAACTTCATCGCCATCTATGACGTACACCCATCTCACTAATTTCAGCGATACAGATACGATGTTCGAGATTGCACCCTACTTCTTTTTTTAGCAATAGAGAAATCACACTTTTCTATGATGATTGTAGACACCGATATACTTATGTAACCAGCATAGTAGATAAGTCACGTAGGAGAAACTGTCCTTTGTACCATATCTTTTTAGGTACCTTTCTTGTGACTTGTATGCGTTAAGATCACCGTACTTTTTAAGGTGGACTGGAAACGGAAGCGGGCAAATTCATTCTGACGTTCATTAACAAAAATAACCATCACACAAAAGTTTGCTATCTTGTAATCACATTGTACACACATTAGAATTACAATACACTGGTATTAATCATTTGCGTTTGGAGAACTTCGTAGAACCACTATTGAAAGGTGCTTCATTTCATCTTTATCTGACATTAATATTCTAAATATTTTCACAAAGGATAATTGTCGTATTTCAGACAAAAAATATTAAGCAATTTTCTACGTTCTTTAAATTGGGCTAATTATTAGTTGAAGCAAATTAAAGTTTTGCATATGTAATGGTTTAAGAATCATTTAGAAATTATATTCGGCCTGTACAGATGATCTTATTAATGTATATTAAATATTTGATAAGTACAATATAATTTACAGTATGTGGAAACTGTGTTAAATATTCTTTGTAAAAATTAGGGGAAATAAATTGCTGTAATTGCGGTTTTGTCAACAATTTTAATCCTGTATTGAAATAATGGCTCTTAAAGTATTTTCTTATTACCTGATTGAAGATCTTTTTTATTCACATTAGTTTAATTAACTAGTTTATAACAAACTATAAAATAGAGATCTTTGTGCGATTACTGGTTTATAAAGTTACTTGTATAGAGACCATCTAGTCTGGTAACAAAACATATGGCACGCATAACAATTTAATCATTCATTATGTTAGGTAAAGGTGTTGATTTTCTATGTTTCTTTCAATTAGATAAATATTTAATATCATATTGATTATGAATAGACTGCGGATTTTTATGCAGAGTAAAAATGTTGTGCATCCTTTGGAAGAGTCACGAACTGCATAAACATTTATTTCCGTTTTGAGTCATTTTAATGAGTTATAAATAATATAATCAGATTATTAAATGTGTTTAATATAGTGTCAGTGTTTTATGTTTAGTCTATTCATTTTTGTTATAAACGCATAAAATCCACGCTCTAGTTATGATTTTCCAATAAATCCGTATGAGTGAAACATAATTGTTTCCTTTATCTGACGATTAATTAGATAATAAACATTACAATTAAAGATAACAATACACGGAAGGAGAAACAATTGGCAAGAATTGCACGTATCAGTAATTTGCCCATTTCCGGTTCGGAACATGTACGCACCGTTTAGTGACTATCTCCGGCACTTCCGGAACACATAAATTAGCGTCACTATCACTTGCACCATATGTGAAGCCTGTGTTGAAACTAATAATACGTATTGCTGCCTCGATATCGTAAGACTGAATTTTTTGTATTGATGTAATTAATCATGATTTAGCAGTGGCAGTATATTTAACAGTGTCAAGAAATAACTGCATTACACGATCGTTATCGTTTAATCACAATGTCATCCGTAGAACTTAAATAGTCGTACAATCATATACAGTCGTATATACAACATATAAATAGAGTGCCTTGCCTAACGTGAGTATATTAAATATCTCTCTTATCGTTGATGACATACAATATAAAGAAACGTTAGAGAAAAAGAAACTAACATTATGATCAGCAAACAATTTTATATTCTAAATAGATATATAAACAGTTATTGCTCTCTTTTTAAATAGTCCAAAGCATATTAAATTTTTCTCTGTGACTTTCTCCTACTGTTAAAAATAATAGAGACATTTAAGATAATTTTGTCATCTTTACTTACTTTATTATTTGTATAGATATAAAAATTGCAGAATGGAAAAGTAATTATAATTCACGAACATGTGACCTCCAAATTACTTCTTCCTGAGGCATTTTTATATCTACACAAATAAAAAAATAATTGTGAGTGACAGAGTTAGGTGAGCCACTCTGTATGCATTTCTTTAATTCACTTACTATCAATAACTCTATTCGTCGATTTACCGGTGAATAAAGTATAACCGAAAGTCGAAAGTAAATATTTATTTTAATTCATTTGTAAGTAACATCATATTTTACTATTTAATGGAGATATTATTTAAAAGAATATAGATTTTCGATTATTATATCATGAACTGTTTAGGAAATGTAAAATACAATTTACATCGACTTGTACAATTCGGTAATATCCCATCGTCTCCTCGCATTTATTTTCAGTCTATGTTTAATTACGTTATGCTTGTTGTCTCACATAATTTCTTTGTGTTTTTTATGTTGTATCCCACTATTAATTCCCTGTCATTGTTCTCCAACCTTACGAACTATATTTTTTTATGTTTGCGAGAAAATCAGGGATATTTTGTGATTGGAGCATGATCAACGGAAATATTCACTTGTATTCAGTACCCATTGAATTTTTATAATAATAATAATTTGCGGGTATTAAATAAGACAATGTTTTTGGCCATAAAGAATGTTATACATATCAATGCGGAATTTAAAGCTTACATTGACAAATGTTATACAATTTTTAGATGCAAGATCTTAGTATTCGTTTAAAGAAAATGTAGCTTAAATCTGATCAAATATTTTCACGCTATAACAATAAATTGTAAATTGAACTGTTTTCATCATTTTACAAAATTAGTATTTTCCTTTACATTTTTTAATATTTTGGATTATTATTTAAACTAATAATTTGAATATAGTGAGATCAATAAGAAATTAATTATATTGACAGAGACTTAAAAGCATTGTATAGGATCCGTTCTTAAAATATTCTATTAAAAAACTTACATTTAAGAAATTACTTATTTTTTAGTTGTACTACAATTTTATCGATGATAATACCAAGATTGGTTATATGTGGAATATTAAACAATACGTAAAACATAGAGTCACATTAATCATTCTCCAATTTCCACGTGAATATTTGTAATCGCATAAATACGATTAAGCTAATTTCTTGTGAATCCACGATTTTCAAAACCATCTTGTCGTCAAACGAGGAGAAAGCAAAGGGTTACTAACAACGGCGAACTTTCATGTACAGTTCATCGAGCTTTTGTGACTAATCATTGTCAGTAAAATACAATATTATTAAGCATCGCCAAAACGCAATTCGATGTTTCTCTGAACTCCCGGTTTTTTTATGTAATTTTGCTACTACGTATCCACATGAGAGCAAAATCCTACAGATTGTACATTCTTCCCCTATATTTTTGTTATTCTCATCAAGCTTATTTTTCTTATCTATTCGATGACTTACAGTAGAAACTGAATTTTGATCTTTTGTTGCATAAAGTTCCACGTTATAAAACGATATTTATTCATATCGTTTGCACTCCTACAGTTTGAGTACAATGTGACGAAATAAATTCACATTCTGAGGAGTTGCTCATTTTATAATGTTTCATACAGTAAAATGTCTAATGCAAATAATAAGAATTAATATATGCATATTGTGCATAGTATATGTACAGTAAATATCTAATGGAAGAAAAGAATTATATTTTTAAAGTTACCTGCTAAAATACTTAATTCCACGAACATCTGCAGTTGCAAGATGTCACATAGATCTCAGATATAACATATGTAACTAAGATATAACTCAAGAAGAATCTACATACGAAAGCAATAGTGATCCACCAGAGAGAGTACACGTCTCTTGAATAAAATTGCAATCTGTATTTGGATATTCTACTTAGAATCCTGCTGGTACTTTATTACCAGGGAAGAGTGTGTGCTCTCGAGTAGAGAAGTATTGTTCAGTAGTATGGATATATCAGAAAGTGTCTCTCAAGTCGATGCACGTAGCACAAGCTTACATTGTGTTTCCAGCGAATGATTTCAGGCTTCGTCTTACACTAGCATTTTATTTGTTGTTCTTCTTTTTTTTTATTCGTTTCACCTCTCTGTCTATCTCTCATTCTCCTGGCCAAGAATCTGATCGTGCTTGAATATCATAGAGATCCCCGGATGGGCCAAGCATCGGTACCGTTTTGTCACGAGATACGTTGTGTTACGAACTATGTTAATGCAATATTGTAAATACCGCATTTTGTAATAAAACATTCATCCTGTACCTTTGACTAACTTTACGTTACGGCTTGCACATTAAGATACGATCCGCAGATAACAACGAGCAATCTGATATTTATCGTTGATCTGGTCGCGTACGCGATGATCATCGTGGCCGCGTGATCGGTGGATGGTAGAGTAATGAAGCACGTCTTGTTTTGTCACAGGAAACGCAAGCAGCACCTCAGAGTTCGTCAGGCAAGAATTGAGAGCGATCGTTGGTGCACGGACGCAACAACAGCAACAGCAGAGGGTACCGAACAACCTACAGAACAACCTACCTGGCCAAGTTTCTCAGGATGATCTTGATGCACTTGGTCTCAACTTCGAAATGGGTTCTCCAGGTACGTCCATTGGAATAAACGGTTCCCCACAGGCTTCTTTTGTTTATACACAATGTGACAGATTAGGCAGTTCGAAGATTTAGAGATATAGAGATGAGGAAACTATAATAATGACTCCTATAGTGTTTGTAGCTCGGAAATCTCCATGCTTGACACTGGATTCTTGTCAAATATTCTTCAATGTTTTCCGCATGGTAACATTTATGCATTGAATTGCACTGTAAATAACTATGCTGCAATATACATATACTTTGAAGAGTGTTCATGGCACTGAGAATCCAGCTAATAGAAATAGAGCATACATAGTATTCTTTTTGTTTCAGTCTTAAGTCCATTCTGAGACATTAGAGTACTTACAATTTTTTGAAAACATTCTATATCGCTAACAGGAATATAAAAGACATCAAAATATTTGAAGCTTGTCAACGAGGTTCTTTGAACAAAGTTGAGTCGAAATAATGTCTAGTAGATTAAGTTTCACATGATCTCATTTTCATGAATGTTTTACAAGAAAACTATAAATTTACACTTCCATGTTTGGGTATCTTATTTCCCTATTTTTCTTAGCAACTCGACAGTTTGAGAGCATGATTTTGAGATGTTTCTAGAAGTGCGGGGAGTACATATTACAAAAATTACAAGAGCTGTGCATTATGGGAGCCACTGCAGTGTTTCTATTCAAGGGAGATTGAGAACCATGATGAAAACACATGGTTCATCTCCTCGCAAAACAGTAAGCTGTTATTGCAGAATACATATTTTTCATGCGAGAGTTGTTTTTAGAGATAAATGATCTTGGAAATGTATCAAATGTATACATATATACATGTACTATATTCTCGTAAAACCTATTGACTATTTATAATCACTTATTTGAGACGATATAGTAAAGATATTAGATGTAGAACAGATGATATAGTAAATGATATTGAACAACAGTTTTATTGAAAATCTCTAAAGTGATAAAAGAATAACATTTGTTTTCATTTATATTTTCATTGTTGTTAAACTTTTATTTATTGAATAAAAGACTTGAAATTAAGTCCTTAAGATCGTTGTCTCAATAACTAAATCAGCAACGAAAATGTGTATTCTACAATTCTCACTTACTTTTGCTCTTTGAAAGAACACGTATCATAATAAAATTGGAATGTACATATTATAATTTGAAAGTACATATCATAATACAATTGGAAACTGTTTATTTTGCTCTATTCAATTTTTATCATCAAATGGTGTTCCTTAAACTACTTAATTGGCATATTTTTCAGATAATCTTTGGATACAATTTTGTACTTGTCGACCATCTTCATTCGCTTCTTAATGCTAACACGATTTCATATTTTATTTCGTTGTATTGTTAGATGAAGTTTTTTTGTCCGTTATTTGCGAACGATAATAACTGAAGTTCTGCATATTGCACACATACATGAAATCCTGGGAACTGTGAAAAAGTATTACAGGGATTCCGCAAAAGTTACGCAAAATTCAAACTTCTTTTAGCATGAAATTATATTGTGTAACAAACTTCAAGTATTGCTTACTGGACTTGTTTTTACAAATCATAAGAAAGATATTCGTCACACAATTTGATGGAGTAGAAAATTTTCTTCCTGTAAAATTATTCTGAAATTTCATTATAGAAACTTGAAGTTTGTTACCTCATACTCAACTTTAAAACGAACACTCAATATTATGCTTATGTATATCATATACAACTCACTGCAAGAATACATAAATTATCCTTCTGCTTGTAACAATATGAAATTATCAAAGTTTCTCATTTACATTTTA